CGAAGAGCAAAAAGACTTCAATAACAAAGATGAAGAAATTATAATTATAGGACAATCTATGTGCGTCAAAAGACAAAGGGATTCTAAACCTGTTTCGAACCCTTGCAAACGGTTAGCTGCCGAGCCCAGTTTGGAGCAACGACGAGTAGTTGTTTGTTCATGGGGAAACCAACGACTAGAAGAAGCAGATCCAGATGTGGATGAAATTATGAAAAATGAAAAGCAAAGGCAAATATTAGGAATTGAGCTTATTGCTTCCGAAAATTTTGTGTGCCGAGTTGTGATGGAAGCATTGGGAAGCCATTTAATAAACAAATACTCCGAAGGAATGCCTGGAGCCAGGTACTATACTGGCAACCAGTTTATAGATCAAATCGAAACCTTATGCCACGACCGTGCATTGGCAGCTTTTAATATTGAATTCAAGAAATGGGGTGTCAATGTGCAGCCATATTCATGTATCTATGCAAATTTTTCTGTTTATACCGGAGTTTTGTTGTCATGCGGGTCTAACTGAGTATGTCTCCAGCTGGATAGTGGGTGTGGGGATGGATTTGAGAATGTACCCATGTGGACGGGTATGGATTTGAAAATTTTTACCCATCATGAGTAGTGGGCGGATAGTGGATTGTAAAATATTAGGTGAATATAGGGATGGGGAGGGATATCCACACCCAACCCGCCCGTTTGTCATCCCTAATAATGTATTGAATAATGTTACATCTCGATAATCCTATCCCTGAAAATAATGCTTGATGAACCAAACTCATCATAAAAGCAATGCCTCTCAAAGCAGCTAAATCCAAGGAAGCTCCAGCCGAGAGGGGATTCCTTGGCTGATTCTCTTCTCACCTCAAGATTGGAATCATAACTTTCTTCTTCCAACTTCACTTCTCATTTTTTTCTTGAAGCTAAAGTTTTTCATCCACTAAATACCGCTTCTTCACTTTCATGTGGGATTGCCTAATGTGGGGAAATCTACTCTTTTAAACACACTTACTAAGCTTTCAAGTCATGCTGAGAACTTCCCCTTTTGTACGATCGAGCCTAATGAGGCCCGAGTTAATGTCCCTTACGAGCGATTCGAATGGCTTTGCCAATTGTTCAAGCCCAAAAGTGAGGTATAATCTGTTTTCTGCTTTGTTTTGCCTATTTTTGCATAAAATTAGCATTAATTGCACTTAAGCGGCTGCACTGTTATTGTATCCAAGTAAATCCTTAACGTTTAGTTTATACTTAAAATAACCCTTAATCTAAAACAACATTTCATAACTTATTTGGATGCAACTAAAGTACAGTACATGGACTTACTAAATAAATCTGAAATTATGCTGAGGCTTTTTTAGTGTTTTAGCTGGAAAAGATAGATTATGAACATTCAATATTGTTTTCTTAGCTGGTTCCCGTGTAAACATTTGAGATGTTTTGATGTAAAGGGGTTTCAGCTTTCTTAGAAATTCATGATATTGCTGGACTGGTTAGAGGTACCCATGAAGGGAAAGGATTGGGCAACAACTTCTTGTCGCACATACGTGTTGTCGATGACATTTTTCATGTTTTACGTAAGATATCTAGATTTTCAAGATGAAACTTTTTGTATCTTCTGTTTTTATGTTACAAATCACTATGTTTGCTTACTTAAGTTTTAAAATTTTATAATACCTTGCAAAAAATTAATTTTGCTTTTTCAACAAAGGGTTGTTAAAGTTATTAAATGGTTTATGTTATTGCTATTTACTAATAAGTTTGAGGTTATGTAAAGCCACTTTTGTTTTTATTGTTATTATGCTTGTCCTTTTGGTTTAAAAATATTTCTTTGTAATCTTATTTCTTGCACTCAATCCTACAGGTGCATTTAAAGATTCAGACATAATCCACGTTGAAGACTCTGTGGATCCTGCAAGGGATTTAGAGACTATTAGTGTTGAGTTACGGTTAAAGATTTGTTCTTGAATTCTAATGCTATTGTAATAGGTATTTGGAACTCTACATTCTATAATACAATGAAAATACAACTGGCCTATTTTTCATTTGGAATTGGAAGATTAATGAATGCATTTTACCAGTGTTGTCAAGACTTGTGCCTTAGCACTGGACAACAACAATGCACATTTGATCAGGCGCACACCTGGCACATGTAGTATGTGCCTGATTGAAATTCTCTTTCATTTATTTTTTTTTCACTCTTTTCATTAGATATTTCTTCATTGTTAAGAAATGAACGTTATCAAACCCTATACTTTGGGATGGACCATAAGGGAATGCAAGATTGACTGATAAAAAAATTTGCATATTTTGTGGATAGACTAGATCACGCACCAGAGTATGTCATGTACCTTAAGCTCTATAAAAAACACACACACACAAAAACTCATAGATATACATATTGCATTTTATTTCACTTGGCTAGCACTTTCTCTTGTGCCTTGCACCTGAGGCAATATGAGGGTTCTAGCACCTAGAGTGTGCATTGCTCCCTTGACAACACTTCTTTTTACAAGCTTGAAGATGAAATTTGAATTAAAATGATTAATACATGTACACATTATGCTTGTGCCTCTGTTGTGTGTATGCAGTGGCGGATGCACTAAGCCCCCATAGGGGCCAAGTGCATCCCTATTATTTTAGAAAAGTGATTAAATTTAGCTTAATGTGTTAAGGAAAAGAAAAAAAATTACAATTTTTGCATACTCATTATTTTTAAGAAAAAAAATTAAAATTTTGGACCCCTATTCTTAAATTTTTGTATCCGCCACTGTGTGCATGTCATAACTTTGATTGGATTTTATTATATTCCTAATGTCTATCATCTCCTCATTCATTATATTTTGGGGTGCTGTTAAGATTTAAAGAAAGTTAGCTATAATATATTTTGTTTTCAAATTTAATTTATGGCATCAGTTAAAGATATCACTTGGTGTGTTTCTTCCTTGTTACAAATGCAATTATGTCATTTATTCATTACTGATTCCTTTATCTATATGATGGTTTTTCTATTATTATACGTCAACATTGAAGAACCTAATAAGGACTTTTATGTACTCATTACTTTCTAAATTCATTTTCTTTAGGATGTTGAATTTATGGAAAGGAAGATAGAGGATCTTGAGAAGAGCATGAAGAGGAGTAATGACAAGCAATTGAAAATAGAAATTGAATTGTGTCAAAGGGTAGGGTTTTGAACATTTGATCTTTTACTTTTGCTGCATTGCCTCATCTTATCTCTGCCATTCTTCATGGTTCTTGTTCTTTTACTGGTTCTTATCTATTGGTGTTGCTTATGTATTGTAAATAGAGGAGATTTATCTCATGATTCTTCTATTTGGCTTCCCTTTAGTCTATGTACATCTTGATATTTTTTGGTTTTATCTTTTCAAAATTTAGTCCTTTATTGTTAGGGGTAAAATTTAGGAGGCAGGTTTGTGTTCTCTTTATAGTCTCTCTTTGACGTGAGGATTTCTACTTTTAGAAACAACCTTTACTCCAAAACTTAAGACCACCAGAGACCATGATCCAAAAGTTGTCAGCTAAGGTTCATCGCCTTAGGCCCACAACCTAAAAGATAGGCCCAAATTAAACCCCTATGACTGATTTAAAAAATTGTGCTCGGAAGTTCAAATACTGAAGACCATGACAGTGGCGCTGGTCAAAAGTAATTGGTAAAGACTAATTGTCACTGGACATAAAGTCTAAATTTTATTCAGTTTTTATTTTTTATGGTAATTTGTGAAGACTATTGTAGCTCAGTCAAGTATGCATTTAATCAGATTATCATGTTCATTGTATATGAGCTTATTCTATATAGCAAAATTTGCTAATGGTGGGTTATACGAATGCCAAAAATGATATTGCTTGTTGTATTACAGGTTAAGGCATGGATTGAAGATGGAAAAGATGTTCGTCTAGGGGATTGGAAAGCGGCTGATATTGAGATATTGAATCATAGTTACAGAAATCGCTCAACAGCCCACGATCTACGTACCGTACGATGCGATCCAAAACGCGGTACGAACGCGTTCCAGTCGTTTCAAAATCGCGATTCGGTACGAGCTTTGGGTTCATCGAGTGTTAAAGAGGAGCTTGAGGGATAGGAAATGGGGGAACGATAGGGGTTGGTTTAAGGCTGAAGAAGATAATGAATTAGGCGAAACTAACCTTGGCGTACGGTGGCGGCTGTCGATGACGCGGCGGAAAACCCACCAGAATCTGGGCGCCGGTTGTAGCTCCCTCTCTCTCTCTCTCTCAAAACTGAGAATGAAACAAAATGAAAATAAGCCCGTTTTGGCTTATATGCTTCATCGGTCGGCGGTTGGAAGTCTCGATGAGGGTTCGAAGAAGAAGATAGGAGGATGAAGAGGGAGAGTTGGAGAGAGACGGCTGAGTTTGGGTATTTTAAATTAGGTTTGAACCTTTAATTAGGTTTTATCTTAAAAGTTTTCAGTTAAATTAGGATTTAGTCACCGTATTCTTAGGGATAAATTAGGTTTAGGCCCTCGTAATTTAGCGAATTTTTATAAAACGGTCCCTAATTCATCCCAATTTTCTTATTTTGTTTCAAATGTTTAGGTACCATTTATATTATTTTACATATTATTTTAGCTTAAACCGATTTTGATAAATTGTATATAGGACCCTGTAACTTATACGCATTTTGTACTTAGGTCACTGATTTATTTCTAATTTTACCTGTTCAATTTTATATTTGTTTCTAGTTAAGGGTAAATATCTGTTTAAATCCCTGTTTTTTTATGTGTTATTTCAGTTATTAAGGAAGTTTTAATTTCTTTTATTTTATTCCTACTATTTATAGTTACTTATAAAATTTGATGTAGAAAATAGCAACCTATAAAACTGGTACATCATACCAATTTATATGGTACATCGTACCGGAGCGATCCAAAATAAGTCTACATCCCTCGTACCGAATTTTAGGGACCTAGCGAATTGCGATCCCGTTCCACGTTCCCGTACTAGAGCGTACCGCGATCCATGTGACTATGTATTGAATACTTTTCAATTGCTTAGTGCTAAGCCGGTTGTTTATTTGGTTGGTGTTCCTTCTATTTTACTTTTTTTTATAAGAAAAGGAAGTCTCAATGTCTCATTAAAAAATCTCTCTATAACCGTCAAAATAAAAAAAGTATCTCAATGGACATTAAAACCCCCCTTCTATTTTACTTTTTTTTATAAGAAAGAGAAGTCTCAATGTCTCATTAAAAAACCCCTCTATAACCGTCAAAATAAAAAAGTATCTCAACGGACATTAAAAACCCCCTTCTATTTTACTTTTCAATGCCTCTATTTTCCTTTTCATACGGCTATAGGTAATATGTACTTGTCATCTGTTAAGTAAGGTTGCTGCTATCTTGTATGATTTTTGCTTGCTGCATCTCTAATCTATATAACTATCAGTGACAAGATTTCCCATTACTACCTAAATTATCTGATGAGTTAAATGGTATAGCCTAGTTGTCTGAATACCTCATCAATTATCAGAGTTATAAATGGTTCATAGATGAAGTATAGTATACTTACTATGGATTTTTCTAAACTATTTCAAAATAGAAAACCTGGAGCTCGTTTGCTTTACAGATTATCCTTATTTCTAGCTGCCTGGTTTTTTTGTTTAATGTTGTTGGCCCATTAACCAATTTGTGTGTTCTGCTTATTCTAATATGGGAGAGCTTCAGATGTGTCATGTTTTATAATGTTAATATTTTAGAGAAAGTAGTTTTGTTTATCTTTCATAGTTTCGGCCTTCGGGAATGTGGCAGAGATTTAGTATCATATCATTTATTCATATGAAGGTTAACATGACCGAGAAAGATTACCAAAGAAAAAAGAAAAAGTTCTTACCAAAGATTCATTCTTGGTATGCTCTCTTCCTATGTCTGTGTTTGTCTCAGTGGTTGGGATTCACATATGCTTTTTCTATATAATGCCTGGAAACGTAGTGAGATGATCACACTAATATTTAGGTTTTATATTGGCCTTGATTGAGATAGGAAAGGAGGTGTAAATAAGAGAAGCTAGAGATTACAACAAAAAATAGAGGGAACTGGGAGAAACGTAGGAAATTGATAGAGAAATATAAATAGGGAAAGACAACCAAGGAGAAATGGGGAGAAATCGAAAAATAATAGTCCATAATTCCAGTAATTTATTATTAGCACCTTTTTAAAGGTAGCAACCGGATCTTCTATAGGCATAACCCATGGAACCCTAAACTAAACTCAAATTCTATATTAAGAGTAATTTGAAGTTTTGAACTCTAATAGTTCAGCACTCTTATATTTATTAGGTGTTAGAAAAGTATTTAACCAGTAAGTGTTAAATTTGGTTTAAGCAGCTCTTGGTGTTGGAAAACTTTCTTTTTGCTTTGTGTATATCATACTTACATTCTCAATTTGAATGAGAACTGTTTATCTTTTACAGGTGCAAGAACATGGTGGTGAACCTATCATTCCTTTTAGCGGTGTGCTTGAGAGGAACCTTGCTGATTTGGAACCTGCTGAAGCTGCAAGTATTGCGAGGAAACAAGGTGCAAAGGTTAGTTGAAAATGATCTCTTTGTTATTAGGGGTTTATAATGCTTTTAGTTTGAGTTGATCAAGACTCACGGTCAGATAGTCTTTGGTGTCCTGATGTTTGACCTGAACTTTTTCCATTTTCTTTGTATTCTGTGTATATGATGCTAAATAATTTTTGTTACAGTGCTCTTCCAAAGATCATCAAGACTGGTTTCTCTGCGATTAATCTCATATTTCTTCACAGCAGGACCAGATGAGGTATCTAATTCTTTTGATCTTATTTACATATTTTGGAAAATCCTGGTTCTATTTTAAATATTAAAAATGTGTGAAGGATGTAAAGAGTATTTACTGCTTCTAAATATCATCTAAGATCATTACATGAATTTGTAGACCTTTTATGCAATGTTGTGCTCTGGATTTGTTATTTTGCCAACATACTTCCTTTTTATAAGCATGGTATCCAAGCATAAGGATCACGTCTTTTGATTTTCATAGCTGCTCACAATGATAACTCGGTACATCATAGAATACTGATGTTGCAGTATTGTAGTCTAACTGACTATCCTTATTTTGGATTCCTTGGTGCATGCAGTTGCATGTTTTAAAGCTTTCCTCTAAATTGGATCACTTATTGGACGGTTCAGTGAATTTGTCTTTGGTTTAATCAAATGATGGCATTAATAATTTGATTGTTTTCCCCAATTCCAGGTGAAATGCTGGCAAATTAGACGGCAATCCAAGGCTCCTCAAGCTGCAGGAGCCATTCATACTGATTTTGAGAGAGGATTTATATGTGCTGTGGTTGGTCTTAGATCGCGACTTGTACATTTTGAAGTGCGCTTTGGGATTATCTTCTGTGACGAACTGACAATAATTATGCTTTTCAACTGGTCCCTTTTCCCGTGCTTAATCTGTTTCATGTTCTTGGAATTTATTAAGTGCAGTTTTTCTATTGCTTAAGTTTAAACATTGAAGCTTTTGTAACGTGTAGACTGTTGTTCCTCTAACTAAAAGGACAATATTTCCTTTTACCTATACATTTGATTTTCTTACCAGCATCTACGACAACATTTATATGTTTCTGTTAGTGACACCGATTTGTGGGTGTTGTGTAGGTCATGAAATTCGAAGATCTGAAGGAGCTTGGTGTAAAGTCAATATGTGTGTGCTAAGGGGGCACCGAATTCGGTGGAATTCGGTGCCATAAATGATTTGTTGATTTTTTGGGGTAATTTTAATTTTAGTCATTGCATTTTTTAGGGTATTTACAAGATTAGTCCCTAAGCTTCAAATATAAATATCCTAGCCCATTTAGCTTCAAAATCATCCCAAAAATCATTTATTTCTCCCAATACTAGAGAGTTTTCTTGTGAGTAGTGAGTGTTTTGTAAACACCTGTAAATTTTCTCTCTTAGTAAAAGATCTGTAGTAGTCCGGAGACGTATGCAAATTGGCTGAACTCCGTTATCAATTTCGGGTATTATTTTTTCGCTTTTATTTCGCATTCGCGCTAATCTGGTTATAGGGAAATTACTTGTTACTCGTTTATTTTCCAACAACAACTGGTAATCCGAGTTCTTGGTTGTCAATTGTGTCAATTTTTTTGCGATGTCATTATTCATTACTATTCACGTGAATAGTGAATTTCGTGAATAGTAAAAATTTTGTCGGCGATACGAATTTGTCGACGGATGTGTTCTAATATACGGTGGTTCGCAAGAATTGTCAGAAACGATCCAAACGAAGCCATATTCGAGTGGGAGCGATGGCTGCAGACGAAGGGAATGTGAAAATTGAAAAGTTCGATGGTGCGGACTTTGGTTTTTGGAAGATGTAGATTGAAGATTTTCTGTACCAGAAAAATCTATATCAACCTCTCTCAGAAAAATAACCAGAGGGCATGAAGAATGAAGACTGGGCTCTTCTCGACAGACAAGCACTCGGAGTAATCCGACTGACGTTATCCCGCAATGTTGCTTTCAACATAGCAAAGGAAAAGAGCAAGGCGGGTCTTATGGCGGGTCTTATGGCGGCTCTCTCCAGTATGTATGAGAAGTCATCGGCCTCAAACAAAGTTCACTTGATGAGGCGATTATTCAATTTGTGAATGACGGAAGGGGCATCAGTGGCTCAACACCTGAATAAACTCAACACAATTACAACCCAGTTGAGTTCCGTGGAAATTGAATTCAATGATGAAGTTCGAGCTTTAATTCTCTTATCATCTCTACCAGACAGTTGGAATACTACTGTTACAGCAATCAGCAGCTCGTCAGGAAACAACAAATTAAAATTCGACATTGTTCGGGATTTGGTATTGAGCGAAGAAATTCGACGGAGATAATCGGGTGAAGCATCAACCTCCTCAGCCTTGCACACGGAGTCTAGAGGGAGAACTTCATATAACAACAACAATAAAACCCTATTCACATATGCAATGGGGTAAGGGAGAGGTAGGGTAGTAGGCAGCCCTCAACACATGGTTGAGAGCAGCTTCCGTGGATGACCTCCGGCAGTCAGAAATTAAAAAATAAAGATAAAATGCAATGCATGTATAAATAAATAAATACATAGGTGAACAGTCTTCATATGCAGTCTTTATATGCGCGTTTGTAATGGGAAGTAATCCCTACAAATAAATCTCTGCTTAAAAATCTCTGCATGTAGACAGAAAAGTAAGACCCGAATAAATTTAAAAAGAGGGAACATGAAGAGAAGGATATACAGAAGTCAACGATGGCAAGCTACGAGAATAAATAATGTCAAATGAGATAAACCTAAACTAGACAACACTACTCAGCTACCCTAGTTCTAAGCCTTCATAAATTCCAATGACAGAAACGCATAAAAAGTAAAAGTAATGGAAATTACTACAAAGGCATTAAAAGAAGACAGAGAATATACACCCTATGGATGTGTCTCGCACTACTCGGCTACCCTGGTCTTAAGTCTCCATAATTTCCTATCAGAGGTCATGTCCTCAGTAAGGGATAAATCCTTCAAATCAGATCTCAAACAGTCTTCCCACTTCCGCCTTGGTCATCCTCTCCTTCTGGCACCGTCGACTATAATCGACTCTACCCTCCTGACCGCATCCGACGGTTGTCTCCTAAGGACATGCCCAAACCACCGTAGTTTTCCATCCCTCAATTTTTCGAAAACAAGAACCACCCCCAAGGACATCCTAATAGCAGAGTTTGGTGTCATGTCCCACAGAGTCCTACCACATGCCCATCGAGGCATTCTCATTTCTGCGGCCTCTATCCTCCTTACGTGATCCTTCTTGATTGCCCAACATTCTGATCCATACAGCAGCACTGGTCTTATTGTCATTCAATAAAATTTTCCCTTAAGTTTTATAGGCACCTTCTTGTCACACAAAACTCCAGTAGCATCCCTCCACTTTAGCCATCCTGCCTTTATACGTTGTGTAACGTCATCATCTACACCCCCATCTTTATGTGTCATAGACCCTAGGTACTTGAAACAATCCTTTGAGGGGAGAACGTGTCCTTCTATGCATACTTCTACATCATCGTTTTGGTTCCCACTGAACTTTGAACATACATACTCTGTCTTTTTAATATTGATCCTTAGACCTTTTTCTTCCAAAGCAGTCTTCCAGATAGTCAGTTTACTATTCAGCTCAGTTTTTTTTTTTCAGCAACTAGGACAATGTCGTCAGCGAAAAGCATACACCATGGAACATCGTCTGGTGTCACACAATAGATGTCGTCCATAATCAAGGCGAAGATGTAAAGACTAAGAGCCGAGCCCTAGTGGAGTCTGATTTCCACAGGGAATGACTCGATGTCACCTACTGTAGTTCTGACGTATATAGTAGATCTACAGTACATATCACGAATCGCCCGGATATAAATAGTTGGGAATCGTCTCGTTTCCAAGGTCTTCCAGATCGTATCGCGGGGAACGCTATCATACGCCTTCTCAAGGTCAATGAACGCCATGTGAAGATCTCTATTTTTTCCCTATATTTCTCCATAAATCGTCAAAGTAGATGAATCACCTCCGTAGACCTGCCTGGCATAAAGCCAAATGGTTTCCGAAACCCTAGTAACTTGTCTCAACCTAGCCTCTATCACCCTTTCCCATAGCTTCATAGTATGGCTGAGTAGTTTAATACCTCTGTAGTTGTCACACCGTTGGGGGTCTCCTTTATTCTTATAGATTGGTATCACTGTAGACTCTCTCCATTCCTCTGGCATCTTGGCAGTCTCTAAAATAATATTAAAGATGTTGGTCAACCACTTAACTCCCTCTTTTCCTAGGGCCAACCACACAGTGATAGGAATTTGATCTGGACGACAGCTTTGTCTCTCCCCATCTTTCTAAGAGCCATTTTGACTTCCTCAAACCCAATCCTACTTATAGGGCAGTCATTGTCCGTAGTATGATGGTCGACTGACCCATCAACGGTACTATCTCTACAAGGAGATGCACCGTCATTAAATAAGCCAAAGAAGTAACTACCCCAAACTCTCTTAATATCATGATCTTTCACTAAAAGAACACCATTGTTATCCTTAATAAACCTAATGCTACCTAGATCATTTTTCCTATTTTTCCTGGATTTTGCAAGCCTGAAGATTTTGTTTTGTCCTTATGTTATGAGTAAGCCCTTCGCATTCGCGAATTCTATCTCTGAAAACATATTGAGTATACGATATAGATAGATAGATAGATATTTAAGAAAACAACATTATAAAAAACGATATTAATAGATATCGGTAGTTGTCCGGTCGTACCTAAACAATAATATTCCAGAGGAAAATGCACCTAAGATCAAATATTTCGAGCCGGCTTCCGTGGAAAATTCAGACTTTCTTTTTGATGCTGCGATTACATAAAAACATAAACTTTGAGGCTCAATAGCTAAATACATGGCAATTGAATCATGAGCCGAGATCATAAAGAGCATACTGCGAGTAGGAAGTGGAATTAATACTTGGTGTCTAATCTCTTGTACATTTCCGCGTATGCCTTATCCTTTACTTTAGCCACCATTTTCTTAGCTTCCCGCTTTGCCTCCTTGTATCTTTGTTTAGCTCTCGATCTTTCTTCGTCGTCATTGCATTGTAGAAACTCCTTGAAGCAAGTTTGCTTTGTCTTCACCTTAGTTTGGACTTCGTCGTTCCACCACCACGATTCTTTATGCTCCTTGACCTTCTCTGTCGACAACCCAAGGGTGTTTTTGCCCACCTCTCTGATGGAATTTGCCATAATTTTCCATAACATATATGCATTATTTGAGTTTGTAGTTCCAAAACCTGTATTAGATAAAACCTTACTCCTAAAGTCATCAGTTGTCGCTCCATGTAAGTTCTTCCAAAGGATCCTAGGTTTACCAAGTTTAGCTCTCCTATGAGTGCACCGCCCGTGGCGTACGCGGAACACCAAAACCAACAATCTGTGTTGTGATGCACATGCCTCTTCAGGGAACACCTTACAGTCAATGCAAGCCCATCGATCCCGATTTCGAACCAGGATGTAGTCGATTTGGGTATAATGTCCCCCGCTATGGAACGTAATCAAGTTCACATATCTCTTATTAAATAAGGAGTTAGTGACCACCATATTGTGTGCAGTAACAAATTCAAGCAACGTATGCCCCTCCTCGTTCCTACTACCAAAACCGAAACCCCCATGAACACCGTCATACCCGTCGGTTGTACTACATATATGGCCATTGAAGTCTCCCCCTATGAAAACTCTTTGGTCCTCCGGAATACTCCTAAGTACATCATCTAACTGATCCCAAAAGCTACGTTTCTTCCCCTCCCCTATGCCAACGTGTGTGGCGTACACTAAAAGGATATTCAATACTTCCGCTTCTATAATAACCTTAATCATCATGATCCTATCCTGGTATCTACAAACTTCAACTACATTTTCCTTGAGCCTAGAGGATACCAAGATACCCACCCCATTTCTAGAGTTATCTATGCCTGAATACCACAACTTGTACTCATTACACTCTCTGGCGCGAGCCTCTTTCCACCTAGTCTCCTGAATACATGCAAAATCTATTTTCCTATTACTAAGTATGTCAGTCAGCTCCAGCAGCCTAGCATTTACCGTGCCTACATTCAACGAACAAACTCTAAGTCTAGTCTCCTTGACACCACTCTATTGAGCCCTCCCCCTATACGCCCTATAGGATCTAAAAGAAGGACATGACCTCAAGTAATCATCTATAGCCGAAGCTAAGAGGAACTATGAAAAAGGAATCCAAAGAAGACAGAAGATGCACTAATAAAACGCTAGAGAATTGAGGGGGTACTAAGAGGCCTAGTTGGTTACTTAATAGGATTTTAAGACAAATTAACACTATCTTACTTAACTTTAGACCAACAGCTAGAAACCAATGATTGGATTTATATCTTACTTCAATTGATTTTTTTTACAAAATTCAAGATACAAACTGTTCGCTCAATAAAAAAAGCAGTAGGGTTTTCGAAGTTACTGATTTAAAGAACGAAAGATAATGGGGATTCGAGAGCGTGATTTGAGAGGAAGATCGAGATAGATATGTGTGGGAAACGACTAACTAGAAAGAGGATGCATATATTTACATAAATTAAAAAAGAATGAGAAATGGGATACCTGTCTAGATCTCTCGCTACGCTATTGCTTGCTTGAGGAGTGATGTTGATTTCCTGATTGGTGAGGGATAATGAAATGGAAGTACAGAAGCAGTAAAACTTGTCTGACCGTTCCAGGAACAGACTTAGCAGAAGAGTCTAAAATTTGTTAATTTCTCAAATCTCAAAGAAAAATAACCAACTTTTCAAGGGAAAAGGAACACAAAATCATCTATGTGAACTTATCAATCTAAAAAAAAAACCCAAAAACATACAATTAAAACAGATCAAGCCCAGATCCCAAACAGTAAAAACTAGATATCGTTAACATGAAAACATATCCAACAAAAAGAAACTAAAACAACAAATAGAAAGAATTTAATCAATCAAAACTAGAACACCTGATTCAGAGATAGATTCAGGCTTAAAGGAGGAGAACAAGCCTGGATCTGGTGAGAAGAGGAAGCTTGATGCTTTTATAACTGCGGCAAGAAGGGTCACTTTAAAAGAGATTGCCGAGCACCGAAAAAAAATATCGGCGCACTTGAATCTGTTAACGTGACAGAGAAGACAGGTGATGCCATGATTGTTCGCGTGTTGTGAGTACTATAAAATATACGCAAATAATGTGCAAGTATACACAATCGCTCAAGTAATAAAGTGATGAGTGAGTATCGTCTCCACAGGGATTGGAAGGATATTGAGTAAAGTTTATGCACTATTCTATCTAAGTATAGTTAGTCTTGATATATACAAATGTCACGGCAATGGATATGTGTATGCTGGTGAATGTGGATTGATGGTGTGATGGTGTAGCAAATGGAAATGCAGTGGCAAGAACAGATATTCAATGTTGGAAATGATGAAACGTCAAGGCAATGAAAAATGGTAAAAATAATAAATAAAAGATAAATAAAATAAAAAGAAGATAATCCTCACGTGACAAGCTTTCAATGGAATGAATGGTAGGGATTGATCTAAGAATGCTAAACTGATATCTCAGGCAGATTTAAGCTATCTGGTCTTTACTTACTCGATAGGGCTTTCCTAAAATGTTCTCACAGGAACCTAACAGAATAGGATGCCAAGGCATCTGCTCTCACTCAACGATGTTGGATAGCCTACCCTATTGATAAAGATACCCTTTTTAGTCTTTGAAATTCTATCCTAGTCTCTTCCGAGATCTAAGGGATTAGGTTATAATATTCCTAGGCCAGTTCAAAGCCCCTTGAAAATACTATAACCCATTGCTTATGAGGATCTTGTCTTGTGTTTCTTTCGAATACTTACAAGTATTTTTAGCTTAGGATTCTTCCGAACACCTAACCTTCATCTAAGAAATGGACATTTCCATGCCTCTTACAAGCCTAGATGGTGAAGCATTCATAAGCAAAGTAAATAAAAAACCAAAATAAACTTAAATATACTATTAAAATAAAGTTAAAACATCCATTAAACCAACCACCACCAAATAAGTTAGTTCATGGTGGGGTTCGAAATATCCATAGAAAAATCCACAAAATATTCGTTCCAACAACCCACAAATAAAATAAATAAAATAACAGCAAAGGGAAGTGAGAAAGAGCCTTCGACGCGCGCCACCGAAGGTCTCCTCGGCCACCACGAACCGCCTTAGCTCGCTAGCTCCCCTCGGCGCCTAGCTCGCTAGCTCCTCTCGGCGCCTAGCTCGCCACTCCTTAAAGCTTTATCAATGGAGAAAACCCAAGGAAGAAGAAAGGAAAAGGGAAAATAAAAATCTGATTTTTCTGCTACAATATGCGTATCCTTTCTTTCCCACACTCTCTTTCTTGTGAGGTGTAATATATAATAAAAATATCTAGGGGTAATGATGAGGTTGTTGGGATATTTTTGGGTGAAAAATACCCCTCATACCCCTAGAATCACATGTTGTGCATGAACATTATCCTCCAGGTGGCAGTGGTCCCCTAACAGGCTGTTACAACCATCATTTCACATGCAGAGCCAGCTGTCCACATACAGCTGTATATTTTTGTCGTTTTCTATGCCAGAAATGCCAAGGCATTTCAATATGCTTCAGCAACGTGTGATGCCGCGGCATTACTTCCCAGCTCGCCTATTTTGCTTGTTATTTCCTACACATACTAAAAACCTCACCTTCCTCTTCATATAGCACCTTAATAAAATAAAATAACACAACCACAAAAAATACAATTATATGCAGCTACATACATCTAAAATGACCTATATATACCCTTAAACAAATAATAACTTAAGTTGAAAAGGCCTTAAAATAGTCTTTTTATATAGTTATCAATGATTCTAAGCGTCAACAGTCCGATTGAATCATGTATCTTGGATTCAGGGGCATCTTTCCACTCCACCCCATGCCAAGAAATCATGGAGAACTATGTCAGTGGTGATTTTGGGAAGGTTCATATAGCTGATGATGAAACCTTGAAGATCATCGGAAGAGGAGACATTCGACTAAAGTTGGCAAACCAGACCACCTGGACGCTGAAAGGTGTGAGACATATTCCTGGTCTCAAAAGAAATTTGATTTCTGTTGGACATCTTGATGGAGAAGGATATAGCACAACCGTTACAGGCTGTGAATGGAAGATTACCAAAGGAGCACTCATCATTGCTCGTGGTAAGAAGACTGGTACTTTGTATGTAACCTCAAATTTAGAGAATATCATTACAGCCGCAGATACTGATGGAAAATCAAACCTATGGAACCAAAGGCTTGGCCATATGAGTGAGAAAGGGATAAAGACACTTTTGTCAAAAGGGAAGTTGTCGGATCTAAAGAATGTAGATGTCGGACTATGTGAAGATTGCATCTTTGGCAAACAAAAAAAAGTCAATTTTGCAAAGATTGACAAGACACCCAAGGCAGAAAAGTTAGAGTTGGTTCATACTGATGTATGGGGACCATATCCAGTTCCATCTCTTGCAAGCTCACTATATTATGTCACCTTCATCGATGATTCTACAAGGAATGTGTGGGTTTATTTTCTGAAGAAGAAATCAGAAGTCTTTGATACATTCAGAAAATGGAAGGTCATGGTGGAAAATGAAACTGGTTTGAAAGTCAAGCGGTTGAGGTCTGATAATGGAAGAGAGTACAGAAACAGTAGATTCAGAGATTTCTGCACAAACAATAAGATCAAGATGGAGACAACAGTTCCCATGACACCGCAGCAGAATGGTGTAGTAGAGCACATGAACAGAACTTTGAATGAACGTGCCAGAAGCATGAGGATACATGTCGGATTGCCCAAATTTCTATGTGCTGAAGCTATAAACACTGCAGCTTACCTGATCAACCATGGGCCCTCAGTTCCTTTGGATGGTGGAATACCAGAGGAAGCTTGGAGCAAGTGAGAAATAAACCTTTCACACTTAAGAGTGTTTGGTTGTATTTCTTATGTACACATAAATTCTGCTGAAAGAAGCAAACTTGATGCCAAGTCCAACAAATGCGTCTTTGTTGGTTATGGTGGTGATGAGTTCGGTTACCGATTTTGGGACTATGAAAATCGGAAGATCATCAGAAGCAGAGACGTCATTTTCAATGAGAATGTGATGTACAAAGACATGTCAACCATAGAATCAAGTAGTTCCAATACCGAAGCTGAAACAAAGGAATTTGTTGAGTTTGAGGAGATTTCTGGAAATGATGTTTAGATCAATCCTGAAGCAGTTCAAGAAGAACCAGGCACACCACAACTGAGACGCTCCTTCATAATTTCTAAACCAACCCAGCGTTATTCGCCTTCTTTGCACTACTTGTTGCTGACTGACAATAGTGAACCAGAGTGTTATGATGAAGCAATGCAGGTGGAGGATTCAGTCAAGTGAGAGTCTTCCATGAAAGATGAGATAGACTCGCTTATGTTAAATCAGACATGTGAATTAGCTGAATTACCACCAGGCGAGAAAGCGCTCCACAACAAGTGGATTTACATGATCAAAGAAGAGCACGATGGGAGAAAACGCTACAAAGCAAGATTAGTTGTCAAAGGTTTTCAGCAAAAAGAAGGTATTGACTACAATGAAATTTTCTCTCCAGTCGTGAAACTGTCTACAATCAGATTGGTGTTGAAAATTATAGCTGCAGAGAATTTAAATCTTGAGAAATTAGATGTAAAGACAACTTTCCTTCATGGTGATTTGGAGGAAGAAATCTATATGAGGCAGCCAGAAGGCTTCATAGAGGCAGGCAAGAAAAACCTGGTATGCAGGTTGAAAAAGAGCTTGTATGGTTTAAAACAAGCTCCAAGATAGTGGTACAATAAGTTTGATAGTTTCATGAGTAGCAGTGGTTTTACCAGATGTCAAGCAGATCATTGTTGCTACATCAAGAGGTTCGACAACAACTTTATTATTTTATTGTTGTATGTTGATGACATGCTCGTTGCAGGCTCACACATGCAAGAGATTATAAACTTGAAGAAAAAATTGTCGAAGCAGTTTGCTATGAGGGATCTGGGCGCTGCAAAGCAGATTCTTGGGATGAGGATTAAGAGAGACACAAAGTCAGGGACTTTGATGTTATCACAGGCTGAGTACATCAACAAATTACTCTCCAGGTCCAACATGCAAGATGCTAAACCAGTAAGTACACCTTTAGGTATTTATTTTAGACTCTCCAAAGAACAGTCACCAAAGATAGAGGAAGAACGTGCACACATAGTGAAGGTGCCGTATGCCTCAGCAATTGGAAGTCTGATGTATGCCATGATTTGTACTAGACCAGATATTGATCATGCAGTGGGAGCTGTTAGCAGGTACATGAATAATCCGGGCAAGGTACACTAGGAAGCAGTCAAATGGATCCTCAGATATCTACGGGGTACCACAAATAAAGCACTTTATTTCAAAGGTGGAGATACGATACTGACAGGCTATGTAGATGCTGACTTAGCCGGAAATATTGACATCAGAAGGAGCACTACTGGGTATGTCTATATTTTAGGAGAAACCGCAGTGAGTTGGGTTTCTCAACTACAAAAAATAGTTGCTCTCTCCACAACTGAAAAAAATATGTCGTTGTTACAGAAGCCAGCAAAGAGATGGTTTGGCTCCAAAATTTCTTAAAGAGTTAGGCAAGAAACAAGAAAACAATGTCTTGTATTGCGACAATCAAAGTGCTATCCATCTAGCAAAAAATCCGTCTTTTCATTCCAGGACGAAGCACATACAATTACTGTATCATTTTATCCGGTCTCTTCTGAAATATGGGATTTTGAAACTTGAAAAGATTAGTGGAGCTTAAAATCCGGCATACATGTTAACAAAGACGGTGAATACGGACAAACTGAAGTTGTGTTCAGCTTCAGTTGGCATGCTAGAGTAACAAGACCAGACATGTTGCTGCATTGATCAAGGTGTGAAGACAGATTAAAATCATTCTTCAAGTGGGAGATTGTAAAGTCAATATGTGTGTGCTAAGGGTTTGTTGATTTTTTGGGGGTAATTGCAATTTTAGTCATTGCATTTTTTTAGGGTATTTACAAGAATAGTCCATAAGCTTCAACTATAAATACCCTAACCTAGTTAGCTTCAAAATCATCCCAAAAATCATTTCTTTCTCCCAATACTACAGAGTTTTCTTGTGAGTAGTGAGTGTTTTGTAAACACCTGTAAATTTTTTCTCTTAGTAAAAGATCTGCAGCAGTCTGGAGACGTAAGCAAATTGGCTGAACTCCGTTATCAATTTCGGATATTATTTTTCCGCTTTTATTTCGCATTCGCACTAATCTAGTTATATGGAAATTACTTGTTACTCGTTAATTTCCGAACAACACTTGGAAGTGAGTGAGCAGTTAAGGTTAGTATGTCTATGAATGGTCTTGTTTCAGCTTTTATTTGTGTAAATGTCTGATGAAAATTTAGACAGAATAAAAGTAATACCAAGTATTCAAGGGGGAAAGAGAGTAACTTAACATGTGATCAAAGATGAAGTGCAAAATTTTAGGATTTAAGCTTGTTGCATCTTGAGCTACGTTGTTCATATGCAAACTTTGTTTATTTAACATGTAAAGTGTGGCTTGGTTCCATAAAGGTGCAGGGACATTTGTTAATCTCACAACATTCCCTTTTGATCAGGCTGCCGGAAAATATAGGCAGGAAGGGAAAACTTATGTCGTTCAAGAGGGAGACATAATATTTTTCAAGTTCAATGTCTCTGGAGGTGGGAAGAAGTGAAGCAAGACTGAAGCGGGGAGCACTTGCATCCCTCGTAAAGGTCAAAACCATTCACATTTTGATCCTATTTGTGTTTCTTTGCTAAATACCATCATTAGTTGGAAACATCCCCAAGAGCCGCGATAGAATGTGTTATTTATTGGGTATGCATCCTTCTGTTATTATGAGCTTTTATTTATATATATGGACATATGGGAGTAGGATAGATTATATTGACCCACAGATCCCCTGGTATTCTGTTTTGTTTTGTACGAACTTTATCATTTGCACCGCATCCAACCGTATGTACCAATTTGAATGTTAACATTTTGACTGTATTGCATAAGTTGTATTTTTGTTAAGAGCTTTTATTTAATAATTAGATGACCGCCTCTGGCGGTTGTTTAAGCTTTTCCACGTGGGTTAATCCACAAGCCTTCCTTTGTTCCAAGAAGGCTTTGTACTGACTACTACTAGCGTTTTAGCTACTGAACTGTCCTTGGTTTTTTTTTCTTTTTCTTTTCATTTTGATGATTTATTTGGGGGTAAAGTATACAAATGATCACTAATTATATTAAAATAATCTTTTTAGATAGTATAATATGATCAACTGAACTTTTCGAATGATTGTACGCTAATAAATTTTTTATCAAGTTTAATAATTATTTGAGAAGATCAATGACGATTTTATAATTCTTTAAAATTTTAAGGTTTAAATACATCTTTACCCCTTGAACTATTTCTATGTTTTTGTTTTGATAACTCAACTATTTCTTCATTTCAAAATCATCACCAACCTTAATATTTTTTCGTTTTGGTTCCATTTTTACTTCAGTTGCATTAGAACATTTAGCATAACACTGGAAAGAGTTGAGTAAAATTATAGTTAGAAATGCTATATAAAGAAGTGTTGAATTTAATAAATTAGATTTTATTATTATTTTAATTTAAAATAAGATAATAAAGCAAAGTCATTGAAGTTCGTGGAAAATTTGTCAAAAGTCTCATACTACTAATCTTATGTTTGGATTGTATTGAAAAAGGGATGAAAGAAAAGTAAGAATGGTATCCTTAGACAGTTTCTTTTTAATTTAAACAAAAAAAGGGGGGTTAAATATACTTTACTTTCCTTGAAATTCACATTTTTTAAGTAATATATATAATATGTCCAACACCTTTTTCTGGGTCGAACATTGTCCCTTCAAATGCAGCAATGTCACCAGCTTCTTCACTGCTCCATACATTAGCATTTCCTCCAAAACCCTTTCCCTAGGATGATAATTAGACACCAAATATAAGATCTTCACGCCAAGCTTAGTGGCTACATTCGAGATTTCCAGCAACTTGTTGGAAAAAACATCAATTCCTAAACCATGATACACTAAGTCCGCCCTTCCCTTCGGACATTCACACAGCAGCTTCATCACAAGCAACATTTTCTCGTATTTGAATCGGTTCGAGTCTGATAAGAGCTCAATAAGGACGCAGACAGCACCGGCTTCGATCGCCTTCAATCTGCTTTTCTTTGACGAATGCTAGTACTTCGAATAGAACCTCGAGAGCATATGAACTCACCTTGCTGCATATCTCATCGTAGACTAGTTCTAACAATGACTTGAACAAGTCTATGAATCGATCTTCAAGCAAAGGGTTCCAATCAAGCATGCTTTGTGATGCAAGCACTTTTTCACCACATGCAAAGGGAGTATTCTTGAACAACTTAATATTTTACTTACTTTATATCATTGTGATCACCTATGAAATAATCATACATATCATGCTAAGGCTGTTAGTTATGTGATTTAATAAGTAAAGGAACTTAGCATATCCACATATTTATAATTGATGCATATTGTTATTTCAAGTATGTTAGATTAGTCTTGCATTCATTTAAGCATGAATCATTAGATTCATGAAATGGCAGCATGCTTAATCATTCAATTGTTAGCTCATGTGCATTCATTTTAGCTCCTAAGTCTTATACATTAGCTTACATATGTTATATCCTTATGTACTTAGCTCATGACATGCATACATAGCTAGCAATACACATGCAAGCTTGAAGATAGCTCAACCCACGCCCAAGGCTGTTGTACATGTTTGGTCTTCATCATATGCATAAGGCTACACCATAAGCCTCCTAGAGAACCATGTGCATGCCTTGTGACCAACCAAGCCATGTGTTGTGCGTGTGCCTCTTTTAGGCACCAAAGATGAATGGTTACATAACTATTCGACCAAGCAGCCCTCACCCTTCAAATTTGCGCCAACTTGAAAGGACTCAAGCACTATTTGGCCATGAGACATGCCCCTTCCAACCAGCCGAATCATCACCTATGCATCCATCTTAATTCGTTAATTAAATTATGTATTTTCAAAGAGACACACCTTTTGTAACATTATGTTTCCATTCGGCCATGTCCCTTCAATTCCTATAAATAGGCTAGTCCTATTCATTTTGTAACAAACCTTTCATATAATTTAAGTGAGATTATTCTCTTTTCTCATGTCCTTGTGACTTTTATCGACTTATCAAGTAAGTTAATTACTTGTGACGTCAACCCTTATTCCTTGATGCTTGTGGTTCCTATCTCCTTATAGATAGTGGGTCCAAGTCCTTTGTTACCACCCCTTAGAAAGATTTGTAAGGCTGGGTCTTTGTTCATTGTAGCACCTATTCTTCCTTGGTCTTTCTAAGATACTATCCTCACCAAACATCATTTATTTCATAAACCAAACCATAGCCATATAATCCTACTTCTGCTACCATATTCATAACATAAATAACCCTCCATTTCACCTTTACATCAACTACCTAGCCATCTATTTGTGCCATTCACTTATGCAGGTTATTTTGCTTCCTTCCTAGATCCACAATCAATTTAATGTAGGAGTACCTTACATCAAGTGATATTTAGAGCTTTGGTGAAAGAAGAAACGAGCAACAACAACAAATTCAAAATACAAAAAGAAGTGCAAGTGAGGGAAAAAAGTCAGCAAAGAAAAATGCAAGCACTCAAAGAAGAAAACAAAAAAAATGAAAAAAAGAAATCTGCAAATAAAAGTTGAAAGCACACAACAACAAGTCTCATCACCAAGTCATTCAAGTAAGCATCTAAAATTGATTGTACTGATAGAAAGGTTGTGAAGTGACTTAGTGTAAGTAACCCCTTTATTCTCTTCTTTCTTATTTCTAAGCCACCCTTTTCAATATTTTTTGTTTTCCATTCCTACTAACCATTTGCAGCTGACGCACAATAAGTAAACTTTACTTGATATAGTTTTGAGTAAAGTTATTTAGAACTCGAGACAAAGAGATTGAGAGGAAAAGTCTTGAGCGTGGGAGACTAGAAAAAGACTAGTAAAAGCCTTAAAGTCATAGAGTGTAAACACGAGCGGATTGAGTGAAATTCAAGTTTCCTTGGAGTGAACTCGTGAGGCTTTATGAGAGCATTATTTGGTAAGGTATTTTTACACATTTTCTTTTCTTTATTTCACTAATCATGTCTCGGAGTCCAAGACGAACACCTGAAAGAGAATCCCCTAACTTGCAAACTCAAGTAATTATGCATGAGATGGCAAGATTGTTGAAACTAGAGTTGGAGCCCTTAGATGAAAGAATGGATCAAGTTGAAGCATCATTGGGCAACCGAAGGATAATTCGCACTAGAATGGAAGAATAATTTGAGGAGGAGGTTGAGGTAGAGCAAATCACCCAAGGAACAAGAAGAGATGTCCATAGGAATCTAGGGGAAAGGTACCAAAATGACAACTTTAACAACATCAAGGAAACAATTACTCCATTTCAAGGACAAACTGATCCAGAAGCATATCTTGATTTGGTAATCAAAATCGAGTATATTTTTTAATGCCAAAACTACTCGGAGCAAAAAAAAGTAAGGCTTACCGCTATAGAGTTTGTGGACTACGCCCTCGTTTGTTGGGATCAATTAGTAAGTTCAAGGAGAAGAAATGGTGAACACCCAATCAATAATTGGGAATAAATGAAGGCCATTATGAGGAAAAGGTTCGTGCCTACTCACTTCACCGAGATCTTTATCACAAGCTTCAAAATCTTAAACAATGAAGCCAGAGCGTTGAAGATTATTTTAAGGAAATGGAGATTCCCATGATTCAAGCCAATATTGATGAAGATAGGGAAGCAACCATGGAAAGGTTTTTATCTGTCTTAAATCCTAAAATTGCTAACCTTTTTGAACTGCAACATTATATAGAGATTGAAGAGATGGTACATATGGCCATGAAGATCGAACGACAAATTAAAAGGAAGGTCTTCAACAGGAGTATCCCAAGTTCGGCCACCAAATGGAAACAAGGGCCTAATACTTTCTGGAAGCCAACCCCAGTCCAAATGAAGGATAATGTTGAGGGATCCAAAACAATACAAGTGGGTGAATCCAACAAGGGTAAAGAAAGGCAAACAAACACTTTAGAGCGGTCAAGAGACATCAAGTATTTTAAGTGCTTTGGAAAAGGACATTTTGCAAGCCAATGTCTCAACCAAAACACTATGATATTGCTAGACAATAGAGATGTTGTCTCATATTTCGAAGAACCTATTCATGATGAAGAACCAGAAGCAATCCATGAAGAAGAGCCAAAAGAGAATGTTGATTATGGAGAAATGCTTGTTTCAAAGAGATGCCTCCAATCATAATCAATTAAGGAGGATATACAAAGAAACAACATTTTTCACACAAGGTGCCATGTCAAGGATAAGGTTTGTACAATGATTATTGATGGAGGGAGTTGCACAAATGTAGCCAACACTACTATGGTGGATAAACTCGGCTTGACAACCTTAAAGTATTCAACTCCATATAAACTCCAATGGCTCAATGAATGAGTTGAGTTAAACATTACTAAACATGTCCTAATTCCTTTTTTAGTTGGTAGGTACAAGGATGAGGTACTTTGTGATATTGTCCCTATGCATGCTAGCCACATTCTACTTGGGAGGCCATGGCAGTATGACAAAAGGGCCATTCATGATTGTTATCAAAACTAATACTC